ATGTCTCACACTGATTGGATCTGGGGCGTTACAGGAAGCCCAAAAAAGGACAATATTTACTAGCCCGTAAACACCCACTTGGTGGGTCCAATGTGCCTTGTGCTAGCAAACCACATTGGTTGGATCTGGGGCGTTACAGAAAGCCCAAAGAGGATAATATTTACTAGCCGGTAAAATTGGGCCATTACACCACCCCACTTAGTGGATTCAATGTGCCTTGTGCTAGCAAACCATTCGGTATTTGACTTTAATGTTATTATATATCATCGTCATTCTCACAATTTTATAAAGAATTTTCATTCCTCTCCCCAATCGAGGTCGGATCTCTCATTTTTACCCCAAGTTTTATATTATATTACTATAGATTGTGCCAAAATGGGACAAAATTAAATCAAATTTAAAAATACATAACCAAAAAAGAATTAATTGTTTCACTTAAGGTTTAAATTAATCTGAAAAAAAATTAATCTTTTCTGGAGTTCAAACTTGAATTGACATTAGGGTAAAATTGGGTCCTTCATTTTATATTCGTCTCTCGCGCGATTTGGTGTTCTAAAGAGGGAAGATCCGAAGGAAGCACAATCTGAAGCTTCCATTATTACCGGTGATAAAATCAAGCGGCTTTGATTATTATCATCGTTAGTCAACAGATGAGCTGAATTTTTTTAACAATCTTTTTCGATTTTGTCTCTGTTTTTAATATTTGTTGGAGCTTCGAGTTCTCCGTCTTTCTTGGAGAACAACAAATGGCCATTGTTTTGCCAACCAACTCACCCACTTCTTTAAAGGGAAATTCCCTCTTTGTGCGAATGTTCCAGATCCCATCTTCTTCTTTCATTGGTTTTTTCACTCTTTTGAGCTAACTGGTAGATCTCTGCCATGGAAACTGCTCTCTCTGCTTCTTCTTCAGTTTCTTACTCCCTTTTTTCCTCTTCTTCTCAGCAGCCTCACAGGAGCTTCTTCAAGACCTCACATGTACTTTCTTTTTGGTTCTTCTTCTTGTTCTGTGTTCTTCCTTTTCTGTGATGATCGTTCTTCATTTCTTGGCTCTTTTTTTGTTGCAGATCTTTGAGTTTAAGCTGAGAACGAGGAAAATGGAGCACACCCATTTGAAATTGGCTACCTCTGTCAAGTAAGTTCCCCTGTTTGTTGGAACTGGTCCTTTAATTTGCTTGTTTTCTTGAATGCTTTAGCTGTTTGTACCTCCTTGTGTTGTTTTCCTTGTAATTCTAGGTGAAATTGACTTAAGGAAGAATGTTAATAAGCTTATGAAATCTGTGCACTTACATTCCAAACATATGGGATTGTTCTAATCATGTTTTGTGTTAGAACGACAGTGTTGTATCCATTGTGATGTATATTAGTGATGTTCGTTGAGTGATAATGGAATGGAAAGTTCACATGAATGCTCAATTGCTCATGATTTTGAGTGCACTACAAGTTTAAGAACGACATCATTTATCATAGTTTAAAACTTGTTTCAACGCCTACTTATTCTTCAGCTGCTTCTCTTGTGTTCATTTATCCTTTTATCTGTTGTGTAATAAATACAAAGGATGTCTGAAAATTTGCTGTGAGATCTCGGTTGGACAGGAGATCGAAACATTTCTTGTTAGGGTGTGGAAACCTCTCCCTAGTAGACGTGTTTTAAAACCTTGAGGGGAAGCCTAGAAGGAAAAGTCCAAAGAGGAAGCTAGCGGTGGGCTTGGGTTGTTACAAATGGTATTAGAGCTAGACACGGGGGGGTGTGGTAGCGAGGACGCTGGGCCCCCAAGGGGGTGGATTGTGAGATCCTACATCGGTTGGAGAGGAGAACGAAACGTTTCTTATAAGGGTGTGGAAACCTCTCCCTCTTAGATGTGTTTCTTGTGGGGAAGCTCAAAAGGGAAAACCCGAAGAGAACAATATCTGCTAGTGGTGGGCTTGAGTTGTTACAAATGGTATCAGAGCCAGACGATTGTGAGATCCCACATCGGTTGGAGGGGAGAACGAAACATTCCTTATAAGGGTATAGAAACCTCTCCTTAGTAGACACGTTTTAAAACCTTGAAGGCAGTCCAGAAGGGAAAGCCCTAAGAGGACAATATCTGCTAGCGGTGAGCTTAGGTTGTTACATCCGTTGACTGTCAGTTTAAAGTTTCAAATTTACGTTATTTAGCGATGTTCACCGTTGTGGATAAAAGGGTCGAAGCTTTCGTTAAGAAAAACGAAAGAAGTATTTTTGGTGGTTCGAGTAAAGAACTTCGACTGTTTCATGCAGCTGCAGCCACCCTGGACTGACTCAAGAAGTTGAAAGTAACAAGATGAACGTTGTGATAGAAACCGAAACGCGGCAAGACTTATTCGAGGAAATCAAACATCGATTTCTAAGCTTTAAAAGGAATACATATATGTAAGCAACGAGCTACTCTTCTTTTGGCGTTACAAAACTTCGAAAGCAAATAACTTTCTTCCACTTGTCAGGAAAAATTTTGAACATTTTCAACGTCTTTCCGATGCTCAATCTCCCAAAGTGAGTACACATCTTCCAATATCAATGGCTTCTAGACAACTTTTAAAATGGATTGCTCTTAGCTTAACAGACAGATCGTGTCAACTGACATTTTGAAGACAGTTTTTGGTGATTTCTTGTGCAGATTCTAGAGTTTGTCCCTCGAACGTTTTAGGTTTCCAACCCGGAGAAGCCTTTCTTGTTCGCAATATCGCGAATTTGGTTGTACCCTTCGAGGCACGTAGTCTATGACTTTGAATTGCATCAGTTCATATCGTTGTGGCTGTTTTTTCGTAACTCTGTTGGAACGAAACAAAGAAACTTTTCATGAACGAACGGAACAAGTAGATTCGTCGAAGTTTTAAAATAAATTACCGTCGAACAAATTTCGTATCTTGTTTATTTGCTAAACTTTTCAGTCTTGTTATTATCACAGAAAGGACCATCAGAAACACAAGCTGCTTTGCAATTCTCTGTTAACACGCTCGAAGTAAGTTATCTTTTAAACGATATCGATATCAATGTTCGTTGATTAAACTGTGCAATGCGTTGAACATGCAATTTTGTTCGATTGTAGGTTGAAAACATTTTCGTCATTGGTCATAGCTGTTGTGGGGGAATTCGCGCACTTATGAGTATGCAAGACGAAAAACCGAGGTTCGATCGAGCTGAATTCGATTCTTTTTGTTTGAAAACGCTATGTACGATTCTTGAAAAGTATACTTTTCGGAACTGAATGCAGCTGTTTTATCACAAATTGGGTTATTAATGGAAAGACCGCAAAAATAAGAACAAAAGCTGCTGCTTCCAACCTCAACTTCGACCAGCAATGCCGACACTGTGAAAAGGTTGTCTCTCTTTTTACAAAATCCTTAAAAACTGTTCGAACTAACACTGTGTTCTTGGTCGTGTTCTTGTCATAAGTGGTCGAAACTCGAAAGTACAATCCTTAAAAGCTCGTTCTTGTTGTTCATCATTGGCAGGAATCGCTCGACAATTCGCTGCTGAACTTGCTGACATACCCTTGGATTGAAGAAAAGGTGAAGAAAGGAAGCCTTGCCATTCATGGTGGCTACTACGACTTTGTCGACGGTACGTTCGAGAAATGGACTCTTGATTACGAAGCGAGCTGCGTTAAAGAGGATACTCGTCGACTGGCTGTAAAAAACCGAGAATTTTGGTCGTAGCTTTTAAAGTATGCTTTTCTATCCCTTTATAGTGTTCCTTATGATTCTGTTTTCACGTATGCCTTTGAAAGCCTTGTGATGAAAAGACATGGAAGAATAATTTGCTTATAGCAAGATTGAGTTTGAGAATATATTGACTGCTGCTTTTGTGCTTGTTTACAACTTCTGCTTTATACTTCACTTTTTTACCTTGCATTTCTAATAGTTCAAGTCCATCGCTAGCAGATATTGTCCGTTTTAGCCTGTTATGTATCGTCGTTAGCCTCACGGTTTTATAGTGCGTCTACTAGGGAGAGGTTTCCACACCCTTATAAGGAATGTTTTGTTCTCCTCTCCAACCGATATGGGATCTCACATTCCACACCCCTTGGGACCCAGTGTCCTCGCTAGCACACCTCTTGATGTCTGGCTTGGCTCTGATACTATTTGTAATTGTCCAAGCTCACCGCTAGCAAATATTGTCTACCTTGGTCTATTACGTATTATTGTCAGTCTCACGGTTTTAATACACATCTGCTAGGGAGAGGTTTCCACACCCTTATAAGAAATGCTTCGTTACCTTCTCTAACCATTGTGAAATCTCACAATCCACCCGCTTAGGACCCAGCGTCCTGGTTGGCACAATGCCCGGTGTCTGGCTCTGATGTCATTTGTAATAGCCCAAGCCCACCGCTAGCAGATATTGTCCGTTTTAGCCCGTTACGCATCGCCATGAGCCTCACGGTTTTAGAACACGTCTGCTAGGGAGAGGTTTTCATGCCCCTATAAAGAATGAATGATTCGTTCTCCTCTTCAACCAACGTGGGATCTCATACTCCATCCCTTTGGGACCCAGCGTCATCGTTGGCACACCGCCTGGTGTCTAGCTCTGATATCATTTATAATAGCCCAAGCCCACCGCTAGCAGATATTGTCCATTTTAGCCCGTTACGTATCACCGTCAGTCTCACAGTTTGAAAACGTGTCTACTAGGGAGAGGTTTCTACACCCTTATAAGGAATGTTTCGTTCTCTTCTCCAACCAATGTGGGATCTCACAAAGAACGACGTGGGAATATGAAAACTGTAATTCAAACTTGTATCGAATAGTTATTAGAGATGGACAAATTTTGGGTCTAGATCGAATAAAGAGATAGCAACGTTGAGTAGTTCTTTCATGAAGAGAGAATATATAATTTTGAAAGATTGTTCTGTTCAGATTGACTAGTCATTATCGATAGAGATTAACGACCCAATCACGACCGTTCATATAAGATTCTTATTGAATGGGCAAAGTTGAAATGAAAGATGGTGGTCAGATGATTTGATCTCTCGCTGTGAAACAACACACACAACGAATCACCATTGAAATACATGAAAACAATAGGAAAGAACAACAACTATTCTATACCAGCTCAAGGGGAAGAAGTTGCAGGTGGAGGAAAGAACGGGAGCGACGGAAGTGTAGTCGGGATCGATGGAAGGGATGGCAAGGTTGGAAGCGAAGATGACGGTAACGGAGGCAAGGCTGCTCCGGCCGGGATGTTCATCGGGGAGCTTGGAAGTGGAGGAAGTGTGGGCTTAGAGAGCGATGGAATACTCGATCCGGTTGTTGGGTTTGGCAATATGGGCGATGCAGGAAGAGGGGGTAGCGCAGATGGGTTAGGAAGCGATGGCATTGGTGGTAGAGTTGGGAGCGAAGGCGGAGCAGTCTGCAGAAGATGTCGAGTGGCTCGACTAGCGTAGGTGACCAAACCAGTTACGACGACTCTCTGACTCGAAATTCACGAACCTTTTGAACACAAAAATTCAAAATTAGAAGTTTAGAGATCGGTTTGGTATTTTTAAAGTTTAAAGATTTAAAAGTAAAATTTAACGAGACTTGGAATTTAACGTTAGCAACTTAAAATAATGTGAGATTTCACATCAGTTGGAGAGGATAACGAATTATTTCTTATAAGAGTGTGAAAATCTCTCTTTAGTAGACGCCTTTTTAAATCGTGAGGCTGTCGGTGATACATAATGGACTAAAGTGGACACTATCAGTTGATAGACTTGAGTTGTTACAAATGATATCAGAGCCAGACACGAGGCGGCATGCCATCAAGAACACTAGGTCTCGTTGGAGTGTGAATTGTGAGATCCCACATTGATTGGAGAGAGGAATAAAACACTTCTTACGAGAGTGTGAAAACCTCTCCCTAGCAGACACGTTGGCTGATGACGATACATAATGCGTCAAAGCGGACAATATTTGTTAGCGGTAGGTTTGGGCTGCTATGGACTACTCTTGCTCACTCATTTTCATTCTTGGCTATGATGGATTGATAAGCGATCTAATAGATTATTATTATTATTATTATTATTTATTTTAATTTTGACGTTGAATTTTATAGTATCGAGGTCACGTCTCGTGTTTAATTAATTTTTATTTCTACTTATTGACTTTCTACAAATTTATAATAAGTCGAGTGAGAAATATTTAAATAATTAAACTTATGATGGATTGATAAACGATCTAATAGATTATAGAACTCATTTTTTTTTCTTTTTTTTAGTTCAAAAGCGTTATTTAATAATGTATTTAACAAAAAAAAAAAAAAAAAAAAA